TCCGGTTCTCGACTTCCTTATCTCCGTTGCAGTCTCATGAATTCCCTAGAATGCCCTATCTTAAACCCCGCGTTCACGTGCCCAACCACGTGCCAGTTTTAAAGCCATTGACGCCCGCGCATTCAAGGTTTCTTTTACCCGAAAAACTGAAAGTCACGGCTTCTGAGCTGCCGATAACGGCGGCGGCTTCGGCGTCGATGATGGAGGCGGAGGGATTAGAAGTGGACAGGGTAACGGAGGCGGAGCTGAAAGAGAACGGGTTCAGGAGCACACGTCGGACCAAGATCATCTGCACCATCGGGCCTCGCACGTGCGAGTTCGAAGAGATTGAGGCTCTGGCTGTGGGAGGAATGAACGTGGCGCGTGTCAATATGTGCCACGGCACCCGCGAGTGGCACCGAGACGTGATCGGGCGGGTGAGGCATTTAAATGAAGAGAAAGGGTTCGCCGTGGCAGTTATGATGGACACGGAAGGGAGCGAGATCCACATGGATGATCTAAACGGCGCCCAATCGGCCAAAGCCGAGGTAATTAGTAAAGCGAACTATACTTCAAAAAAGGAAAAAAAAAATTAGTAAAGCGAGCTTAAGAGTTAAGCCAGCTTAGTAATTAATGGAATTGTTCCTTCTTATTAAACGTGTCGTATTTTGTAGGATGGTGAAATATGGACTTTTACTGTGCGAGCATTTGATCCGCCATCGTGCCCCAAACGTACCATTACTGTTAACTATGATGGCTTTGCTGAAGGTAGAAATTGTGTAAGCTGTACAATACAAGTGAATAAACAAATAATAATCTTTCAAGATGTACTAGCTTTGGTTTAATTATCCAAAAAAAAAAAAAGGGGGCATAATTTTTAGTTTTTGAACAATTGAGCAGTAGTGAAATTGGCCCATTTTGTGTTTTCAGATGAATTTGGTAGAGGATTATGTGGTACCTAACTATGGTTTGAGTTTAGTTTATTTTGATTTTGTGTCCTTAAATTTGTACAAAAATCATATCAATCAGTAACCGTACCAATGCTAACTGTAAAATGAATCAAAATCCACATGCGCTAGGCATCTTTGCTGGCAATGAAAGAGCTCTGGCTGCCAGTTTGACAACATTTTAAATTCTTTTAGAGCCGTAATCATCTTGACTCACCAATCTGACAATTTTGTGATGTGACCATTGACCATGAGTTGTTTTGGCCACATGGCTATTACTTTCATTGCTGCTGCTGCCTCTCAAATCCACCAAAGTTTTGTTTAACTTGTGACAAAATAAACAATAATGCACTGACTTTTATCTTACATGACAGATGTGAAGGTTGGTGATGAGCTGCTTGTTGATGGAGGAATGGTGAGGTTTGTGGTGACTGAAAAGATTGGTCCAGATGTAATCTGCCACTGTACAGATCCAGGGCTGTTATTACCTCGTGCTAATCTTACTTTTTGGAGAAATGGGAATCTAGTTCAAGAGCGTAATGCCATGCTTCCTACAATATCTTCAAAGGTCTGGTACCTTTCAAAAATTCAATAGTTGAGTTGGGTTCTATAAGATCCATTTTGCTGTAAAAATACTGTTGAATGGGTTTTATCTTGTAACAAAGGTGCCCATTATTGTGTGTGACTTTCTGGAGCTGGTGCCTTCATGTGTATGCAAGGCTTTTTTAATAATGGCTGCTCATATTAACTCTTCCTTTCCACTGGAGAGTGTTCTTATATAATGTTGAAATGTTCGTGTTTCTTGCAGGATTGGCTGGATATTGATTTTGGAATTGCAGAGGGTGTTGATTTTATTGCAGTATCCTTTGTGAAGTCTGCTGAAGTCATTAAGACTCTAAAGAGCTATATCACTGCACGATCACCTGAAAGGTAAGCATGTATATCATTTTATTGCTTCGAATTTGTCTATAGACACAAGGTCTGCAGTCGGTAAAACTTCTTTCAAAGCTTTCAACTATATATATACGTCAATATCCACAAATAAATTTTTATTGCCATTAAGTTTCAATGCAATCACATGTTTCTTTCAATTATAACTGAACAATTGTAGAAGCAAAATTATTTATATAATTTCCCATGTCGATATTACAGCTAAGGATTGTACTCCTTGAATACAGGCGCTTGAAATTTCTATGCAGCCATAACATGTTCTGATGTTTCAATTTTGCAGCCAAATTGCTGTCATTGCTAAGATTGAGAGTATTGACTCTTTAAAAAATTTGGAAGAGATTATTCAGGCGTCAGATGGCGCTATGGTGGCCAGAGGAGATCTAGGTGCACAGATACCATTAGAACAGGTCCCATTAGTTCAACAGAAAGTTGTGCAGCTGTGCAGGCAATTAAATAAGCCTGTCATTGTTGCCTCCCAGCTGCTTGAATCCATGATCGAATATCCTATACCAACCAGAGCAGAAGTTGCTGATGTTTCTGAAGCAGTAGGGCAGCAGGCAGATGCTCTAATGCTTTCCAGTGAATCAGCCATGGGTCAATACCCTGAGAAAGCATTAGCTGTGCTAAGAAGTGTCA